AGGAAAGAAGGAAGGAAGGAAGGAAGGAAGGAAGGAAGGAAGGAAAAAAGAATAGCAGATGGAAGGGACCTTGGAGGTCATCTAGTCCAACCCCCTGCTCAGGCAGGAAACCCTATACCATTTCAGACAAATGGCTGCCCAGTCTCTTCTTAAAAACTTCCAGTGTTGGAGGGAGGGAGGGAGGGAGGGAGGGAGAAAGGAAGGAAGGAAGGAAAGAAGGAAGGGAAGGAAGGAAGGAAGGAAGGAAGGAAGGAAGGAAGGAAGGAAAGGGAAGGAAGGAAAGGGAAGGAAGGAAGGAAGGAAGGAAGGAAGGGGAAGGAAGAAAAGGAAGGGAGGAAAGGAAGGAAGGAAGGAAAGGAAGGAAGGAAGGAAGGAAGGAAGAAAAGGAAAGGGAAGGAAGAAAAGGAAGGGAGGAAAGGAAGGAAGGAAGGAAAGGAAGGGAAGGAAGGAAGGAAGACCCCTAGTGATGCAGTAGTTAGAATGCAGTATTGCAGGCTAACTCACTGCCCACTGCCAGGTGTTCAATCCTGACCGTCAAGGACTACTTACTTCTATGCTACTTCTGCCGGGAGAGGGGGGTTCATTCCCATCCCTGGTGCCGGGGGGGGGGTGTCCTGCCCACCAGTTCTTCAGCTTCACCGGCCCTTCTCTGCCCCTCCCCCTTCCAGGCTGCTTCTACCAGGGCAAGGAGCTGCCCAACGGGGAGCAGTTTGCGGACCCCCAAGACCCCTGCCGCCTCTGCTCCTGCTGGGAAGGGAGCGTCAGCTGCAAACTCAAAAGTTGCCCTCCGGCCGAGTGCCCCTTCCCGGTGCCCGGGCCTTGCTGCAAGAGCTGTGAAGGTACACAGGAGGGTGGGGGTCCCGGGGGTGTGTGGGGGAGTGGGCCTGCCTCCAGGGAAGGCGTCTTGTTTGGGGAGAAGGAAAAATCCAGAAGCAGGGAAAGGATCTGGCCGGAACCACACGGGGCCACGTTATCCAAACCTCCTGACTTGGGGGAGCTGGGGGTCTTTCGGTTGAACCTCTAAAAGCAATTTGGTTGAGTGATTAAGGCACCAGGCCAAGAGTGGGAGACCAGGAGACGGTGAGTTCTAGTTCTCCCTTAGGTGTGGAAGCCATTGGATGACTTTGGGCCAATCACCAGGAGACGGTGAGTTCTAGTCCCGCCTTAGTCATGAAAGCTGGTTGGATGTTTTTGGGCCATTCACCAGGAGGCAGTGAATTCTAGTTCTCCCTTAGGCGTGGAAGCCATTGGGTGACTTTGGGCCAATCACTAGGAGACGGGGAGTTCTAGTTTCACCTTAGGCGTGAAAGCCGGTTGGCAGACTTTGGCCCATTCACCAGGAGACGGGAGGCAATTAAGGAGTGGGTGCCCATCAGGAGGGCCCAGTAGTCCCGGAATGGGTGCAACCAGTGCACAACTTGTAATTGTGCAAACACTTCTTGAGCAAGACTGCCCCTTGCACCTTGAGAAGAAGGGGACCCGTAACACGTCCTGCCTTCCTGTCTCGACGGAGCGGCTGGACGTCCTAGGGCAGAGTCAGTCCTTCCGATAGATCCCATCCTCATCGGCACAGAGGAGATCCGGTGGGACCCTCCCTCTCTGCTGATCCCGATGCCATAAGTGCCGAGGAAGACCCACCGGGCGAGCTCCGGAGCGTCTACTGCAGGGGTAGGCAACCCTTGGCTCTTTTATGACTGGTGGACTTCAACTCCCAGAATTCCTGAGCCAGCCATGCTGAGGGGAAAGGGAGAGGTTTCCAAGCTGAGCCATGCTGGCCCAGGAATTCTGGGAGTTGAAGTCCATGTGGACCATAGTTCCCCCATGCTGGCTCAGGAATTCTGGGAGTTGAAGTCCATTTGGAGGTTTGTCTATGTCAGGGGTAGGCAACCTTGGTGCTTTTATGACTGGTGGACTTCAACTCCCAGAATTCCTCAGCCAGCCATGCTGAGGGGAAAGGGAGAGGTTTCCAATCTGAGCCATGCTGGCTCAGGAATTCTGGGAGTTGAAGTCCACGAGTCATGAGGGGGCCATAGTTCCCCCATGCTGGCTCAGGAATTCTGGGAGTTGAAGTCCACGAGTCATGAGGGGGCCATAGTTCCTTCATGCTGGCTCAGGAATTCTGGGAGTTGGAGTCCATGAGTCATGAAGGGGCCATAGTTCCCTCATGCTGGCTCAGGAATTCTGGGAGTTGAAGTCCACGGGTCACGAGGGGGCCATAGTTCACTCATGCTGGCTCAGGAATTCTGGGAGTTGAAGTCCGCAAGTCATAAAAGAGCCAAGGTTGCCTACCACTGGTCTACTAGAACCTTCTCCTCTCTCACTTTCCCAAGGGTGCGAGTACGTCTCCCAGCGCTACCTGAGCGGGCAGGAGTTCCCGGACCCCCAGGACCCCTGTGGTCTCTGCTCCTGCCTGGACGGCTTCATCACCTGCACGAAGAAGCCCTGTTTCCAGGCACCCTGCAGCCACCCTCTCCGGACGTCCGGCCGGTGCTGTCCTACCTGCCAGGGTGAGGTCCGAGGGGTGGGAGAGGGCAGGAGAAGGTGTCCCCCTCGCCCCTCACTCTCAAGGGAGGCTTTATTCAAACATCTCCTATCCGGGCAGCACTTGGTCTATTCCCCTGGCCTAAAGGATCCTTTTCCTCCCAAGACGTGCCAGGGGCAATGCCCCCCCCTGGGTGCCCAGCCCCCTGGCAGCAGCCACAGCCGAGTTCAGGGCTCCGGGGAGCCTCCACTAACTGCTCTGCCTCTCGCCAGATAGACTGCGCCTTTCATGGGGTCACCGTTGCCAATGGCCACTCCGTCCCTGATCCAGCAGACCCTCTCTGCTCTGAGTGCACCTGCCAGGTGAGTGTGGCCGGGGCCAGGAGCAGGTGGGGAAAAGATGGAAGGAAGGAAGGAAGGAAGGAAGGAAGGAGGGAAGGAGGAAGGGAGGGAGGGAGGGAAAGAAAGAGAGAGAAAAACAGAAATAAAGGAGAGAGAGAAAGAGAATGAAACAAAGAAAAAAGGAAGGAAGGAAAGAGAGAAGGGAGAGAAAGAAAAGAGAAAGAAAGAAAGAAAATGAAACAGAAGGAAAGGAAGGAAGGAAGCAAAAGGAAGGAAAGAAAGAAAGAGAAAGAAAGAAAGAAAGAAAGAAAGAAAGAAAGAAAGAAAGAAAGAAAGAAAGAAAGAAAGAAAGAAAGAAAGAAAGAAAAAAAAATGAAACAAGGAAGGAGAGGGAGAAAAAAGAAAGCGGAAGGAAGGAAAGAAAGAAAGAGAGAAAATGAAACAAGGAAGGAAGGAGAGGGAGAAAAAAGAAAGCGGAAGGAAAGAAAGAAAGAAAGAAAGAAAGAAAGAAAGAAAGAAAGAAAGAAAGAAAGAAAGAAAGAAAGAAAGAAAAGAAAAAGAAATCAAAGGCTGCCTTCATTTATACATCATGTAAATCTGTCTTTTTTGCAAACGTGGCAACTTTTTCAGACAGGTGGACTTCAGAATCCTGGGAGTTGACGTCCACCCGTCTTAAGAGTTGCCACATTTGAAAAAAAACAAAACGGGTGCAAGCAAGGCCTTCCACCACACAGCCGCAACGTGAGTTTTCGACGGCCACAAGGGCCTCCGAGGGGGACAGAAACTCACTGGGTAAATATTTTCCTTGGAAGCCTTGAGCTGTTTCCCTGCTGGCGGCTTCCGGCATCTGCCAATCATCGTCCAGCCAAAAGAACTGCCGGGAAGGAAGCATGAAACATTCAACACGCTGCCCAGGGGTGCACTAAAACAGCTTCAGTTGCCGTTGCGCAAACGACTGGAATCTGGTGTGTACACACACATGTGGCCAGACCGTCTGGAAGCCTCTGGCTTTGGGAAAACTGGGAACACTTCCTTTTTCACCAGTCCACGAATTGCGACTGTAATTGTGCCAGAAAGAAAGAAAGAAAGAAAGAAAGAAAGAAAGAAAGAAAGAAAGAAAGAAAGAAAGAAAGAAAGAAAGAAAGAAAGAAAGAAGGAAGGAAAAAGAAAGGAAGGAAAGAAAGAAAGAAAGAAAGAAAGAAAGAAAGAAAGAAAGAAAGAAAGAAAGAAGGAAAAAGAAAGGAAGGAAGGAAGGAAGGAAGGAAAGAAAGAAAGAAAGAAAGAAAGAAAGAAAGAAAGAAAGAAAGAAAGAAAGAAAGAAAGAAAGAAAGAAAGAAAGAAAAAAATAGAAGGAAGAATCAGGCTTGCCTTTAAGCCGGTCCCCATGTAATTGCACTTCATTTGACATGCTGTTTTTAGAGCATTCCGTGAGTGGCACGGTCATAATATAAAGTCATTAAACAAATTCTGTGGTCTATGTTTAGGGAGAATTCTCCTGTCCTCCAGGAGGTCCCACAGGTGCTTTTTTCAGGAGGCCACTGGACTTTCCTATTTTTCTTTGATGATGTTTCGCTTCCCATCCAAAAAGCTTCTTCAGCTCTGACTGGATGGCGGGGAAGGGAAGGATTTATACTCCTTGCAGACAGCTAGTCATTTGCATCCTTTGAGAGAGTCGTTGAGGCCACTGGGAGGCTTACCTGTGTCCTCAGAGTCACCTGAGTGGTGCAAATGGGTGTCCCAACCCTTTCAGCAGTTCCAAGAAGGCTCCACACCCATTTGCACCACTCAGGTGACCCTGAGGACACAGATAAACCTCCAAGTGGCCTCAGCGACCCTCTAAAAGGATGCAAATGACCAGCTCTCTACAAGGAGTATAAATCCTCCCATTCCCCACCATCCAGTCAGAACATGAAGAAGCTTCTTGGATGAGAAGCGAAACGTCTTCAAAGGAAAAACAAGAAAGTCCAGTGGCCTCCTGAAAAAGCATCTTTGGGAAAATTCTGTGGTCACTAAGCAAACGCCACAGCGGTTAACCGAACATCGTGGCCAACAAAGCATTCTCTTTCTCTTTCTTTCTCTCTCTCTTCTCCCCTCCCTTCCTCTTCCTCTTCCTCTTCCTCTTCCTGCAGGTGGGCTCAGTCAATTGCATGAAGAAGCTCTGCACGCCTGCCAGCTGTGCCCACCCGGTGCCTGGCCCATGTGCCTGCCCCCTGTGCCAGGGTGAGTGATTTCAAGAGATGCTGCTCTTTATCCGCAGGGCTATCCGTTCGTTCGTTCACTCACTCCCTCACTCATTTGTTCATTTACTTATATATTGCTTTAAAAATCATACCACAAAAAGAACACAACAAAAGGAACAAAGCACCATCCTGAGCAACCTTGACCGCTTTCAGAACGGGCGGACTTCAACTCCCAGAATTCCCCACCCTCCCAGCTTCTTAAAGGGCCAGACGGGATTTCTTTGCTCCGACTCTGAGTGGCCCCCTTTTCCCCTCTCCAGGCTGCAGGTTCCAGGGTCAGGACTACGGAGATGGAGAGAGCGTCGCTTCCCAACACCAGCCCTGCGAGGAGTGCCAATGCCTGGTCAGTTGTGGG